CTGGCTCCCAAACTCTGCCTCTGGCATCAAATTCCCTGCTAGGCCTAAGAGAGGAGCCTTGATTTGGTGTCCCTGTCAAGGGATTTGTTGTCCCTGCCCATGGCAGAGGGTGATCTTCAAGGTCCCTTCCACCCCAAACCATTCCATGACTTGATTCTCTCCTGTAGAGCCTGGATGGGGATCCAGCTACCCTGGCTCCCAAACTCTGCCTCTGGCATCAAATTTCCTGCTGGACCTGAGAGAGAAGCCTTGATTTGGTGTCCCAGTCCATGACAGGGGGAGAAATGAGATGATCTTCAAGGTCCCTTCCACCCCAAACCACTCCATGACTCGATTCTCTCCGGCTGAGCCCGGGTGGGGATCCAGCTATCCCAGCTCCCAAACTCTGCCTCTGGCATCAAACTCCCTGCTGGATCTGAGAGGAGCCTTGATTTGGTGTCCCTGCCAAAGGATTTGGTGTCCCTGCCCATGGCAGAGGGTGATTTTCAAGGTCCCTTCCACCCCAAACCATTCCACGGTTCGACTCTCTCCTGATTAATCTGCTCAACGCCCTCCAGCCCCTGTTGACTCCCTCTGAAAAAAATGGTCAGAGCAGAGCCCCTTGTGCCCTTTCTGCACCCACAGCACCAGAGAAAAGGAAATTTAGGGGTTATCTCCTCCTTCTCTCACCCCAACTCCCATTCCCGTGGCCAACCCAGACCTCCCAACCCACCCCTGGTTCTCACTGTACCGTAAAAGACAGAGGGGGGGTCGTGGAAGAAGGGGTAGTCGGTGAAGAAGAGCAGGTAGGTGCCGTAGGACCAGGACAACGTGTAGAAAAGCAGCTTCCAGGCACTCTCAGGCATCTTGGCAGCATCTTTTGGCTGCAGGTTGCACCATTCCCCAAAGGGCTGCAGGGAGAGAGGGGAAAAAAACATCAGAAAGGGCAAGAGGAGAGGCCTTGGGGAGCTCAGGGCAGAGATGCCCAACTCTCCAAGGGATTTGAGCTCCGTGTGCTGCTCCAGGGGCAGGAATCCCATTTTTCTGGCCTTTCTTACAGCAGGAATGAGGGCAAAGGGGCTGGAGAGAACCTGAAGCAAGGGAAAAAAACAGGTTAGGGATCCTTCCTGGAGCCTGGCACAGTGGGCATCCCACACCCTGGGCACTGCTCCACCCTCCAGGAGCCGGGCTGAGCAGAGGCTGCTTTTGCAGAACAGAAATAATGAATAAAATAACACAATAACGAATAAAATAAAAATAAAACCCTAACAGCACAGGGAAAACGAGGAGAGGAAGCTGTAACAACACCATCCCGTGCAGATGGACCTTGAAAAAGCTTCCAGGAAAGAGCTTTCAGCTGGAGAGGGAAAGACTTTGCAGAGTCCTGGGCACAGGGGCAGTGCCAGCCGGGCAGGGAACGGGGCAGGAAAGGCTGGCACAGCAGGACCCGCTTTCCCAGCAGCTTTCCCAGCTGCCCAGCACTGAAACCCCGCTGGTATTTCCCCCCTCTGTGGTTTGCAGCACCTTCCCACACCTTTGGGAAGCAGAGGCTGGAGGCAAAGCCTCCCCAAACAGGGCCGAAGGCAGGGACGGGGCACAGGCGGCTCTGCCCGTGTGAACCAGGACAAAACTCTCCCACCCCGGGGAGAGAGGGACCACCCAGCCCTCCCCCAGCACTCTGGGCCACTCGGGACAACTTGGAAATGGCAGGAAAAGCAGCTGAACAGCCTCGGATTTGTGGGAGTGAAGCGGAGCAGCCGCCTCTGCCCTTGGTGCCGTGTGAGGAGCTGTGTGTTCCCCCTGCTCGCAGGGGCTCTGGGCAGGGATGTTTTCCCCCTCTGTGGCAGCTGAGCAAGGCCAGGCCCCATCTCTGCTTCTCCTCATGGCACTGACAGCCCCCCTGCACAGCCCCCGGGGGGAGCAGGGGAGCCCCAGCCCAGGGAAGGGCTGCTCCAGGTCCGGAGGGAACGTTGATAACACCCAGAGACCTCCCCCTGCCCCGGCTGGGAGCTCCTCAGGGAGAGCCAGATAAGCTGGAGATGAAAACAAAATGCCTGTAAAGTAACTGTACCCCGGCCCAGGTCAGCACTTTCTGCAGCCCCTCGATGCCCCAGGGCTAAATTAAGGCCCCAGCTGTCCCCAGGCAGTGGCTGCTCTGGCTTTTAGCCCCTCTTGGGGTCCAGTTTTCAAAAGGACTCCACTCCAAGCTTCGTCCCAGCCTCAGAGTGCTCAGTTCCAAGCCCTGAATCCCCCAGCACTGCTCAGGCCTGGGAGCAGCAGCCCCAGGAGCCTCCAGCCAGAGGCATCTCCCATTCAGAGCGTGCAGGAACCACTGCCAAGGGCTCTTCCAGAGGGAGCCACGGGAGGGAAGAGAGGAGGAAGCTCGAAGGGTGAATAAATAATGCAGAGGCAGAAAGTCCTGAGCCCAGAAAGCATCAATTATTTGTGTCTCCACAGAGTGGAGCGTGGAAGGAGCTGGGATGTGGGGACAGCAGAGCCACCAGTCCTTCAGGGATGCCGAGCACAGCCCCAGATCCCTGTTTATCCTGGAATGGTTTGGGTTGGAAGGGACTCCCAAGATCCCATTCCATGGGCAGGGACACCTTCCACCGGAGCAGGGTGCTCCAGAAAGCTGGGGAGGGTGGGAAGGGAACCAGCAGCACGCAGGGACCGGGGAGGGGACACGGGAATGTCCCCGGAGCAGGGGGGGGGGAGGCACAAGCCCAGGAGCCGCACGGAGCAGCCCGGGGGTGGAGATGAGCAAGGTGGGGGCTGTCCTCCCGTCACCCGGCTGCCGTTCCCATGGCAACGGCGCAGAAGATGCCTGTTGCTAAGGGTGACGGGGGCTGCGAGTCGGGAACGGCGGATCTGGCTCCGGCTGAAAGAGCCCGGGGCTCTCGGAACGGGGTTTCGCTTAAAGGGCAACCTCCTCTTCCTCCTCCTCCTCCTCCTCCTCCTCGCAAACCTCCCCCGGCACCTCTTGGGGACAATTAACAGTTAATTGGGGGCTGCGCCTGTTCCCGCAGCACCCCCGGCACGCGGAGAGGGGGGGGAAGGAGCGGAGCAGGGGGGTGAGAACGTGCAGCGAGAGGGGTTCGGAGCCGCCAAGAGAAACCGGGTGGAAGCTCTGCGGCTGCCCACGGCTCCGCTCGAGCGCCAAAAAAACCCCCAAAACCCTCGTAGAGAGAAGCGAGCACGTTTTCTCTCCGTTTTCTCTCCGTTTTCTCTCCCTTTTCGCAGCCGCCGGCGCGAGGGGGGAGCAGCCGATCCCCCGGGATCCACGACCGGCAGGACGCGGGTGCTCCCGGCAGCCTGGCAGGGATGGGTTGGGAATTGAGGAGCTGGAATTGGCCGAGTCCCAGCCGTGCCACGTCTGGGTCCCCCCCCCCGGGCACAGCGAGTTCCCCCGAGGGACACAAAGGAATGGCTGGCACGGGGCACCCCCGGCGCAGGGAACTGGCAGCTCCGCGGCGGCTTTGGCTCGATGGGGGTGATGATGATGATGATGATGATGAGCAAGCAGAGCTCTCATTCAAACCCCGGCCACAACCGGCAGCTCCTGCCCCTTCCACGAGCTGCCCAAAGCACCGTGTGTGGCTCCCCAGGCTCTGTCCCCTCTGTCCCCAGCCTGGACGCTGCTCCTGGACCTCCTGCCACCTCAGGGATGGGGCACAGAGCCTGCAGGACCCCGGACTGGTTTGGATTGGAAGGGACTTCAAGGGTCATCCAGTGCCACCCCCTGCCATGGGCAGGGACATTTCCACTGTCCCAGGTTGCTCCAACCTGGCCTTGGACACTTCCAGGGATGGGGCAGCCACAGCTTCTCTGGGAAATCCATTCCAGGGCCTCCTCACCCCTCACAGCCAGGAATTCCTTCCTGATTTCTCGTCTATCCCTGTTCTTTTTTCAGGAAAAACCCAGTAAAACGTCACCGTTCTCCAAACCCAAAGACAGGGCTCTCCACAGCCCTGTGCAGCCCGGGGCAGTGACTGTCACCCCACCACGAGAAGGGAGTGAGCTGAGCAGGGCATGAAGAGCTCCAGCTCCCATCACCCCATCCCTGCACCTCTTCCCCGTATTCAACACTTTCCAGAGAAACACGTGGGGAAAAAAAGGCACTATGATGGTACCAAAAAACGAGCAGACATCACTTCTCCCTCGGATCCTCGCCCCTAAAGAGAGAAAAGCAGCAGAAGGGTCTCCCTGAAGACCCTCCGAGCTGCCCGCGGGGCCGAGGAACCCCCACCCCGAGCCCCGGCGCTGACACAGCCCCCGCCGAGCCGCCTCACCCCGGGGGGGAAGAAAGGGCCCATTGTTGTGGCTTTTGTCCCGTTTGGAGCTTCCAGCGTTTGCGCTTCGGGCGAGGGGAGGAAACTGCGGAGCCTCCTCCCACTCCCCTGCCCTCCGAGTGTGTTGGGTGGTCACCCCTGGGGACGTTCCCCCCCTCCCCAGTCACACCCCCCGCGCTGGGGCTTGGAAAAATAAATCTGGGGTGGGGAAAAGGGGCATCGATCGCTGGAAGGGACCCCAGGAACCCTCCCCGTGCAGCTTCACTCCATCCCTCACTTCCAACCTGGCTTCCCGGAGCACGTTTTCCAAGGCACTTTTCCTTCCAGAGGACACTGCAACGTCCTACAGGCTTGGACACCACCGGGAAAAAAAGAGCTGGCAGGTGTCTGGGCCAAAAGTGGAGAACATTCCCCCACTGCAGAACAAATCCTGACCCACCCCCAGGTCCAGGTTTTACACCGAGAGGATTTTCCTCACTCATTTTGCTCTTGGTTCACTCCAGGGATTTCAATCCCGGCAGCAGAGGTGGCTCAGGGTGGCTGAGGGCTGGAAGCCTCTGCCTGGGATTGGCTGTCCCAGCCCATCCTTGTGTCTCAATCCAGAGCTGTGCCTTGGGTTTCACCTGTCTGGGTTCCCTGCCCTGCTTGGGAAAGGAGAACCAGCACGGGCTGAGCTCCAGGGGATCCAGCCTTTCCCCAGTGGAGCTGCCTGGTCCTGTTTCAGCAGAGCTTGGCCTTGGTGCCCTCCAGGGTGTTTAACTAACGCAGAGAGAGGGGCTCAGGTTGCTGCCTTTTAATCAAACTCCTCAGGGCTGGCTGGTGTCACACAGGGGACACACCAAGGACGTCAGGGACTGGTGGAGCTCGGACACCACGGGGGCAGGAGGACGGGGGCAGAACCCAAGGAGGCCCCCAGGGATGGGAGCACTTCCCTAGAAGGAGCTTAGTCTTAATTTCTGGAGGTGGTTTGCAGCCCCAGTGAGCTCCTACAGACACATCATCCCCTTTGTGCACTCAGAATTCAGCAGGACAGGGAGCTGAGACCCTCAGGCCAGACCTGGGGGGGACAGATCCGTCCCTCAGGTCTCTGCAGGGACACCCACACCCCAGCAGAGCTGATTCTGGGGGTCCTTCCCTGCCTCACAATCCACACTTCCTCAGCTAATTGGGATCTTCCCACCCCGAAACAACCCCTCTCTGTGTTTGCCCCGAGGTTTCCATGAAGAAACAGCAACGGGACAAAAGTTCTTCGCTCTAAGAAGGACGGGAAAAGCACCAACCTGACCGGGGGGGGGCAGGTGAAAATCCACCCTCAAATCCAAACCAAACCCCTCTGATCACCTGCATGACCTTTTCTACTTCTCCAACCCAGCTGTGGGACCTCCTGTGCCCCAGATGTTGGGGGATAAACGCTGCTGGGAGAGAGAGCAAGGAGCCCAGTGCCCCTTGTCTGACACGACCAGGGGGAAATGGCTTTAAAACACTTATTTCTCACAGGAGCTGCGTGGCCAGAGCTCAGCAAGGTGCACTTTGTGCTTTTGTGGTGAGAGTCACTTCCTCCTCAGACGCAGGGGAGCACAAGGTTTATGGTCTGTGAGTGACAGGCAGGAAGGGAACGTTCCCCAGTCACTGAGAGGGGTCGGTTTTACAACCCCGAGGGTTTCAGTTCCTGCAGGGAACACAGAGAGAGTCCAAAGGAGGAAGAGGCTCCAAGTCTGCACAGGGAAGCAAAGTCCTGAGCTGGGGGGAAGTTCCCTCCCAGGGTCAAACAGGTCTTTTCTCTCCCTGATGTCCCCCCCACCTTGAACGACCCCACTCTGGTACCGCCCCTACGGGGGCCATGAGGCACCAACTTGATTTCCTGAGGGGTTTTAGGGGAAAGCCACAACTTCCATCCTTTCCCACGGCAACTCCAGCAGCATGGAAGTGAGGAAAAGCTTCCTATCCTTTTAAGCTACCTGCTGCCCTGGCACTGGGGGAAAGCTGATGCCACTGGAACCCCGCTCAGCATCTCATCAGGATCACACATGCAGATGGAGCCACGGGAACCTGCTCCCAGCAACCCCCCCCCGGCCCTTCTGCAGTTACAGGTGTGACCCATTTCCCAAGGGAACGACAGCTCAGGAGCTGCCACCCCCCTCCAAGGGCACCCACCACCTCAGGAGCTGTTTGCCAGGCTCTGGAAGGGCCTCAGGCCAGGAGGAACTGGAGCTCAAAGGGAATTGTCACCAGGAATAACCTCAGACCTTGAGCAATCCAGCATTCCCAGGTGCTGGATGCTGCCCATCCCGGCCAGGGGCGCGGGGAACGAGGGGAAATTCAGCCTGACACGACCCCTCAGCACATTCCTTGCCTAAAACCACTGCAGCAGCTCTAAATGACTCCAGAGGGCTCCCACTGGACCCTGCACAAGGTCAGAACCCACCTGGATGAGCAAAGGAAGAGCCCCTCTGAGGGTGGAAGGGCTGGGATAACCTGGGACAGGGATGCAGGGAACTGCCTCTGATCCGTGAGGAGCCTCCAGAGGAAGCAGCTCAGCCAGGGAACGAGGCCTGTCCTGGAGCTACTCGAGGCCTCGTGTCACTGAGCTCGTGGGGAGGTGGGAAAAGGGTGTCCCTGTGTCCCCAAGGCTGTCCCCCGACCCAAAATCCTCCATCTCCACTGCTCCTGCCTTTAAAGCAGCCCCAGAGCAGAGCCCTGAGCATCTCTCAGGAAAGCAGCGTGGAAGGAACGGGCTGGGAAGAGCCATTGGAGGGAGGGGGGAGCTCTGCTCTCCCTTCCACGCGTTTTTTCGCAGCGAGAAACGAAGCAGAGCTGCTCTTCCTGCTCAGGGACGTCCTGCTCGGCCCGTCCCTCGCAGAGGGATGTGCTGGAGAGGGGACAAGGGCCGGCCAGCCCCTTCGGAGGCTGGGAGAGCCGGCCGGGAGCATCCCTGCATCCCCACGCTGGCAGGAAGGTCAGCCCGGCACTGCAGCACCGAGCCAGCCATCCCCGGCCATCCCTCCCTCCCTCCCTCCGCCGCCGGGCAGGGAAGGACATTTTCCATGCGAACCGCGGGGGGACGGGCAGAAACGCGCCCCTCTCCTTCCCGCAGGAAGGCAACAAGCCGGGAATAACCTGGAAGGAATAACCCTCAGCCTTGTCGGGATGCATCGATGGGGATGTGGAAGGAGGGGGGGGTGGCTCTCCCGGTGCGGGGGGATGCTCGTTCCTGCGGGATGCGGCCGCGGGGGAAGGTTGGGAGCAATCTGGGAATAACCTGGAAGGAATAACCCTCAACCTTGTCGGGATTCAGCGATGGGAATGTGGAAGGAGGGGGGATGCAAGGGGGGGATGCTCGTTCTTCCAGGATGCGGCCGCGGGGGAAGGCAGGGAACAAGAAGGGAATAACCTGGAAGGAATAACCCTCAGCCTTGTCGGGATGCAGCGAACGTGGAGGGGAAGGGAGCGGCGCGGGGGGGCTCTCCCGGTGCAGGGGGGGCTCTCCCGGTGCAGGGGGGGCTCTCCCGGTGCGGGGGGATGCTCGTTCCTCCGGGATGCAGCCCCGAAGGAGGGGGAGGAAGGCGTAGGGCGCATTTCCCACCCCCAATCCACGGCGGACGCGCATCCCACCCCGCGGACGGAGGCGGGCGATCCCCCCGCCGGTACTCCGGGGCCGACCCCAAAGGGACGGTCCCCCCCATCCCCAAATCCGCGTCTGTCCCCCACCCCCTCCCCATCCCCGCGCGGCCGGGACTGACCCGAAAGATGCTGCGGGAGCAGGCGCAGCGCAGCGCGGTCCAGCCCAGCGCGCAGAGCCCGCACAGCAGCACCTCCGCCCAGCCCAGGTGAGCGTTCTCGGCCCAGGTCCGCCTCGCCAGCTCCCAGCCGCAGTCCCCGCAGCCCCGGGCGGCCGTGGCCAGGCTCCCGTAGCCCCGGCGGAGCAAGGTCCCGTAGCCGGGCATGGGCTCCGGAGGCGGCATCGCTGCCACGGCCGCGCTCGCCGCCCGCGGCCCCCGCGCAGGCTCCGGCGGGCGGGATCGCGCTCCCCCCCGCGCCGGTACCGGGCGAGAAGAGCCGCCCCCCGCCACGGCCCGGCCCCCTCCGGGCTCTGCCGGGGCTCCTCGAGGGGGCAGAGGCTCCGTTCGGCAGCGCTGCGGGGAGTTCTTGGAGCTTACGGGGTGGGTTTGGGTTTTTTTTTTGTGTGTGTGTCCCGACAATGCGGCCGCTCCGCTGGAGGACGAGAGGGGAGAACGGGCTGGAGTCGCTCCAGGAGCGAGGGACGGGGATAAACAGCGACGTTTCGGTCGCAAGAGGTGATGGAGCGGTGGAGAAGCGCCCAGGGGCACCTCTGGGGTGGTCGTGGGGGTGGAAGGTGCCCGCAGACCCTCGGCAGCCTCGTCCAACAACACAGAGCTGCTCCGGGTTCAGAATCCTGGACTAAACCTTGAACTCCCTGACCAAACCTTAAAAATCCTGGACCAAACCTTAAAAATCCCACACCAAACCTTCTCCTTTCAATGTTTTTTTCACCCTCCCCCATGTGGGTTTTTTTTATTTTGTTTGTTTGGTTTGTTTTTTTTTTTTTAATTTAATACACGAAGGGAAATGTTTCTCCAGGTTATTTTTCCCCAGCCTCTCAGCACCAGCCCTGGAGGATCAGCACCAGCAGATCCATCCCTTCCTCACGGAGCTGACCCGATGTGTCCCCCCCGTGGGCCACCACAGCTCAGTTTGGGCACCTGTAGCAGTTTAAGGGTCTGGAATAATGGGATGGAGCTTTAAGATGCAAACACACCCTCCCCGAAGGTCACCCCCCCAGAAAGACTGAATGTCACCTCCATCATCATCATCACAGGCACCATCGAGCTGTAGCTGGAACCAGCTGACAGGGAAAGGAAAAAACAAGCTAGAAATGAGTTTAATCTCATTTTAAGTCGTCCAGGCTCCCCCTGGAACCTCTCCTTGCTCTGGGAAAACACAAACTGGTTCCCCTCGAGGTCCCACAGTGTCCCCCCCACAGCTCCTGCTCTGCCACTTGCTTTTATTGTTTACATTTTTAAGTCAATTTATCATGGCCCATCAAGTGGGGACGGGCTGCCCTGAGCACACAAGCCCCTTTCAGGTCTCCCTCAGACAGCTCCACAAAGGGAACATTCATCCCAGGCCGGGCCATGAATAAACCCCTCACTGAAAGGAGCTGCTGAGCCAAGGGAGGGGACAAAGGGCCCTTTCAGGGCCAGCCCGGCCAGGGGGGCACGAAGGAAGCACCCGTGGGACACACATTTACAGTGCAAACCCCCCTCCTCCCCCTCCCCAAATGATAATTCCCAAGATGATCCCAAATATTCCAGGGGCAGGAGGGCCCAGCTGAGGGTTCCAGCGGGTGGGACACAGGGATGAGCCCAAGGCCACGATGCCAGGGTTGTATCCCAGGACACTTCCAGCCCCTCACGTGCTCCAGGAGGGGATGCCCCGGTTCCAGGACACGTCCTGGGCTCCAGGACACGCCTAAGGCTCAGGCTTGAGCCTATTACAGCAGGATTAGTTTTATTTTGGGAGTTTTCCCCTCTCACCAGCAGTAAAACCCCCCCAGCCAAGGATCCTTCTCCCAGGGGGGGCTGAAGGTACAGGAGTTGGGGTCAGATGGACCCAAGGAAGATCCATAACTCAGGATTGATCCAGGTGCTGACTGCAGGTGCTTAAAACCGACCTTCACACTCTCCCACCTTCAAACTCCCAGTCCTGGAGTGGAATCACCGGAATTCCAGAAATTAAAGGGGCACAAAGATCCAGAAGAGGCTTTATTAGGAATGTTCAAGGTGCCACTGTTGCACCCTCTTGATCTGCCCCAGAGTTCAGGGCCCAGGGGAGGCTTTGAGCCCCCAAAATTCAGGTGCTGGACACAGGCACAGCCCCACCCCTGCTGGAGCAGCGGGGTGAAGTGACACCAGGCTGATCTGCAGAGGGGGTTTTCCATGTTCCAGAGGGGATTTTCCATGTTCCAGAGGGCATTTTCCATATTCCAGGGAACAGGAACCCCAGTGCCCAGGGGTGGGCACAGCCTGGTCCCTCAGGCACTGGGTGCGTATTGCAGGGCCAGCCGGTCGAAGTCGTTCTCCTGCAAGCAAGAGGCAAAAATAAAGGAATAAATCCAAACTTTCCTGGGAATCTGATCAAACTCTGCATTAACTGAAGAGAACAGCTCACCAAGTCCAGAGGAATTCCAGGAAATGAGATCACCTGCACTGATTTTTTTTCAGTTTGCTTCGCTTTCCCTTTCCCCTCTCCCCCAAATTCTATTTAATGTCTGGAATTCCCCCCATTTAATGTTTCATGGCAACAAACTTCCACTTGGATTAAGAACCCTGTTTCTCAGAGCTCTTGTGCCATGGGCAGGTACATCCCACCTGGTTTGTGCTTCCCAAAAACCTCTCCCAAGGGCTGGAAAATTTAACTCAGGAGTGACAGGGCAGGGACAAGGAGCTGCCCCCTCAGGCCAGAACCCACAGGTCCCATCACAGCTCCATCTGAGGCCCAAGAAATTCAACTTTATATCATTTATTTCCATCCTGTTCTGTTCTATACCTTTGCCTGATACTCCTTGATGAAGGGGTGGTTTTTGTGAGCATCTTTCAGCTGCGACAGGTAACGATTTGTGACCTGGTGGGGCGAGAAAAACAAAAGTTAAACATTCAAATAACAGGAGGAAAAGCCAAAAGCGCAACAAATCACCCCTCAAAGGGTTGGTTCACAGCTAAAAACCTGCTTTTCTCAGTGTCTCCCACATCAGCAGCCCCAGTGAAAACCAGTAAGACCTTTTAAAACCAGTAAGACCCACACGCCCTTAATAAATAATAAAATAAAACGTGCCTAAATTAATGATAAAATACTTAAAAATAAACCTGAAACTGTGGGTTTAAGTGAAAAGAAGAATCAGCAAGAGCTGAGCTTAGAACTCAAGTGATTTCTTTCTGCCCAGGCCTTCCTCTCAATATCATGGAATTATGGAATGGTTTGGACTTTAAAGATCATCTAATCCCGAGCCCTTCCGAGGGCAGGGACATTTCCCAGGTTGCTCCAAGCCCTGTCCAACCTGGGAAAAAACCTGTCCTCTGTATTTCCACAAACTCTCCTTTAGAGGTGTGAGCTCCCCACCCCCAGAACCATTCCCAGATCCTGCTGGGAACACACGGAACTCCCAAAGCTCTGGGATCTGCCGGGAACACCCAACAAACGCGGCCTCACCTCCGGAGCCTTTCCCAGGTGCTGTGAGAGCACCACGAGGTTCAGGAGGGTCTCAGGGTGGCCACTGTCCTGCAAGGAACAACAGCCACATCCAGGATGGGTGTCCTGGGATCCACAGCAACAGCCAGGCCTGCGAGGAGCAGCCCTGCCCAACCCCCTGCCCTGGGAATGGGAACAGGGATGGACACCGGGACGGACAAGGGATGGAGGGACAGGACCAGGGAATGGCTTCCCACTGCCAGAGGGAGGGTTAGATGGGATACTGGGGGGGAATTCCTCACTAGGAAGGTAAGGATTTCCCAGAGAAGCTGCCCCTGGATCCCTGGAAGTGTCCAAGACCAGGCTGGCGCAATTTGGGATAATGGGAAGTGTTCCTGACCATGGCAGGGGGTGGAACTCCAGGATCTTCAAGGTCCTTCCCAACCCAAACCATCCTGGGATTCCACCCTAAACCATCCTGGGATTCCAACCCAAACCATCCTGGGATTCCAACCCAAACCATCCTGGGATTCCAACCCAAACCA